CGCAGTGTCCAGATCTGAGCAGTTCCAGTCATTATTTGTTGTTTGAGCTCTGTCCCCTAGACCAGAGCTGTTCAACTTCCCTGTGGCCAGGGGCTGTCCCTACCTGGATACAAACACGCTCCCCTGCAGCAGGGACAGTATGAGATGGCTGCAAGGGCTTGTGGGCTGTAGGCTGGCCCCTCGCAGGCTGCATGCAGTTTGCAGGCCATCAGTTGGAGAGCCCTGTTGACCAGATTAATTTGCCTGGAACCCATGCCAAGCTCCCTTCAGTGGTGCCTGGCCGAGGTGCTGGGTATTTGAAGTGGCTTCTGGTCTCCGTGTTCTGCCGATCTTCTTTGCTTCAAGCCCACTTCTTTCTTTAAGGTGGAGCTACCCCCTGAGCTCTTCAACCGCCTGGTCCTGAATCTGTGCCGGATGGCCCAGGAGTTTGCCACATCAATGAATTATGCCAAGTTGCTGATGACTGTGCTGACCGTGTATGCAAGCAACGTGAGTCCATGGGGGCTGTGGCTTGAGCTGGCCAGGGCTAAGAGGAAACTGTCTCAGACTGGCTCTGCTTAGAGTGTCTGTTGCTTTGTCTTAGTGACTGGGATGCCAATTTAAACACCTTTCAGGTGGATATTGGGGTTTTTTTGTCTTCACTCCCTGGCTTAATCTGTTTTATTGTGGGGAACTTGGATGAATGCTAACCCACGCGGGCTTGCAGTGAGTCGCTTCTATCCTGATTTTGAGGTGCTGAGCACCCACGACTCAGCTGCCTGACAGAAATGAGACCCAGAGTATTTCCAGTCCTCTTCTGAGCAATGATCTTGTTGCTAGAAGGGAAACCAACTGTTAGGCACCATAGATGTTTCCTTTAATCCAAGGCCAGTGGAGCCTAATTACCTGTTTCTCTGTCTTCCTCTGCAGGTTACTCCAACCCATCGGAGCCATTTGGCTAGTGTTCTGGATCTCAATAGAACAGCCCTAAAGAAATCTCTGCAGGTAGCACTGGAACAAGTGGCTCCCAGATGAAAAAAGCAAGTCAGATTCCCGTATTTCCTGAGGATGGAACAGCCTCCTGGGTCTCTGATCTGGGTCTGCACCAGTAGAAGGGACAGCAGGCCACGAAAGGGAATATGCAAGAAGACGGTTCTGCCCTCCTGTGTTTCTTGACCAGGGCTTGTGGAAATGGCTGGAGATTACCCTGAGAAGCTACCATGGATGCAGACGGGAGCTGCACTGAAGGACTGGCTTTAACTATTACTCGGCCGACATGCAGGTTCCTTGTCCATTAAGAGTTTTTTAGCTTTTTCATCCTCTTCAAAATGAAGGTGGAGACTTGGAGAACAGGCCTCGAGAAGTAATATTGGATTTGTGTGTGCAGAATGCCCATCAGGCAGAAGTATTTACGTCTACTGAACAGCTCTGCTAACAGGCAGCCTTGGCTACCTTGCATGTGCCCTTAAAGAAGTCTGTGTGTGAAGATCCCAAAGCTAATGGATAATTAATTCTAGAGGAACCTACAAGGTAACGTTTCCTGTGAATGCTCAGTTTGTCCCAGGTACCAGTGCATTCCACTTAGCTTGTGCTCTTGCATAAAAACTCTTGTTGCCTGGTAGCCATACTCCATTTGGATCATCAGAAGATGAGGCCTTACGTGGCTGAGCACTGAGCTGGATGAATGAGCTCTCTTGGGCAAGGTGAAAGAAGTCTGAATGGAATAACTTTCTCTCCCCTGCAATTTGAATTGGACCAGATGAAGCCAGACTACGAATAAGGGGCACCATAAATCTCATGCAAGCTTTGTCTGAAATGTTCAACCCAGTTTTGTAAATCAGTGGTTTTGATCAAGAGACCCCAAGCTTCTCTGAACTGCAGATAACTGGGTTATTCCATAACTACAAGTTAGAGCATGATTGGTTTACATCTTTTGCTTCTCCTTTTTTAATGAAATGTTTCTAAGGGGGATATGAACACTTAGTTTGAAGATATCGAAGGAGAGTTTCATGCTCTGCTGTTTCAGTGAAAGACCCAGTTTGTGAGCTGAAGGCGCTCACCCGGGGTTTTGTTTATTTCCAAATTGCTATAAAAGTCTCACTAAAGGCTTTGTCTGTACTGCATCCATCTAAAACCTGAAGGAGAATACGCTTTTGTTCTTTCTCCTTGGATGCATTGTCTTGGTAACCACAATACAATAAACAAATAACCCATATATATCCTCGATGGCTTTCCTGTGTAACTTTGTCCGTCCCTTGACTTTTTTTCATTCTTCCTGGCATGGGAGGCAGGGTTGAGTTAACAACTGGATTTGCTTTGAAATGCAACCAGTTCTAAAACCTCATTGGCTGTCTGTTGTACGCTCTCAAGCTCCCCAGAAGCCGTCAGTGTTTGACAGACATGAACCCAGGTAACTGTCACAAACCACCTGGTAACACTTGTCAGGAGGTTGCAGCTCACTTTTTAAAACTGCCGTTTACCCTCCTTCCCACTGCTGTTTGCTTTCATCTCCATAGGTAGGTGGCATCTATAAAGAAAAGGGTCCGTGTAGCTGTAGAGAAATAGGGACCTCCAGAGCTCATCTAGTCTAACCTCCTGCCTGAGGCAGGATCATCCCTATCCAAACCATCCTATACAATCCATGATCCAGTGGCGATGCGTAGGCAGTGCACGTGCAACTCCTGAGATTTAACCCCTGTCTGTTAACAGGCCCTGGCCTAAATGTAATAACTTTTGACTTTTGGCCTAAATGAAAGGGTTTCTGCCCAAGTTGTTGGAAAAACCTGTCATTATGAAGGGTTTGTTGTCATACTGGGAGGAATTATTACGGGGATCCTGCTGGGCTCTGTCATTACTCTGCATTTTCATGAACATCTAGGATGATGGTCGGTGGGGGGATGCATGCTTATATGACGCTTGTAGATGATACCAAGCTGTGGGAGAGGGGAAGGAGTGCTGCTGGTGCTTTGGAGAAGTGCCTGACACCATGACGATTACAATGAGGAGATAAGTATAAAGTTCTCTATTTCTCTCTCTGGTTTCAAAGGCCTATAACCGCCTTAACTCAAGCTTTCCATCTCCTCCCATCTTGCGCAGTCTCCTTCCACCTAAATATAAAGTTCTACATTTAGGAAGGAAAAGTCAGATGTCCCAGTGCAAAATGGGGACGAACTGGCTATGCTGAAATGCCGTGGCTTTGTCGGTTACGTTGGGCTGCCAACTCTGTTTGAATCCGTTCCGGGAGGCTTTGTCCTGTGATGTAGGGACATTGATGACTGATCTACCGTACTGTACTCAGTCTATTACTATGACGTTAAAAACCCCCTGGACTACTGCATAAATTGGAATCAATGCTTAATATTTATTTGGACGAATGCCCTGTCGTTGATCTCCCCGGTGACTTGCGGCAGATGTCGATCTTATTCCTGGAGCCTCCACAGCAATCCTGGAGGGCTGGTACCCGTACGGGGTTGGGCGATCGTAGACTCGAGAGGCGTCAGCACCAGAGCTGTGGCAAAGAAGAGATGAATAAGCCTTGCAAGGGCAGCAGCGGGAGAGGGTTGTTGGTAGCAGAGCAGGGTAGCACCCCGTGAGCTGAGACCCACCACGCTGCAGAGGGGCAAGAAAGAGCGGAGATTTTGCAGGGGTGGAGGTGGCTCAGGCTGGAGAAGGGGCTGCGGGTGCACAGAGGTGCCTGCCCTGCGCAGCCCAGCCCAGCTGGGTGCAGTTCCCACTGCTGCCTCTAGGGGCTCCACGCACACGTCACCACTCCAAGCCCCGCCCCCGCAGCCACACTCTGCCCTTCCCAAAATGGCGCCCGCCCCACCACCTCTCGCGAGACACGGCGCAGGCTTTTGACGTGTTTTCCGCGCGACGAGGCCCTTTCCCTTCCGGCCCCTCGCACAGGCAGCACGATGAGGTGGGGCCGGAGTCGGGTGGTCATCCGCCGCCATCTGCGCCTGGGGCTGCACTTGCGCTGGGCCCGGCTCTCGCTCCGGGCACAGCGGGTGGTGCTGGCGGCGCGGGCGCGGG